GCACAATTTATTGGTCGTAGTGTGCTGCTGTAAGTGCTTTGTGTGTGACAGGAGAGCAGCGACAATCAAATACTGTTGCCTCAAGACTGTCCAATTTGTCCGCCAAGCAGAATTATTCTAGCACCGGTTCCGACATCTCTTCATATGATTGGAGAAGTTTTCCCAGTATTTATAGGTGAGGGAGAGAATCTCGGAGCCGATCTTTCTTTTCATAATATTCCGGATTTTGTACTTACTCTTTCAAGTTGATAGCCGGAGAGACGTGAAGGGTGAAGGTCGCCAGTCAATCTGGAGACTCCCCCAATAAATATCGTGCAGAGGATCGGCCTTCCCCGCGCGGTACCCTCGGGGACGCCGCCAAAACAAGATTTAGGAGGGTGGGGCTGGTGGTTAGATCAATAGGGAGGAACAAGTTGACGGAAAAGAGCAACAATTTGGATGTATTAGCCACGGGTAGCCTTGGATGATTAACGCCGGGTCCCCAGGCGGTTCGCTGGTAAATCAACCATCTGACTTGTGTTACCTCCATTGCGCGGAAAGCTACAGTCCGACTTGTGTTACCTCCTTTGTGTAGAGTGCTACAATCTGATGTGTGTTACCCCCACTGTGCGGAGAGCTACAATCTGACTTGTGTTACCTCCATTGTGCGGAGAGCTACAATCTGACTTGTGTTACCTCCATTGTGCGGAGAGCTACAATGTAACTTGTGTTACCTCCATTGTGCGGAGAGCTACAATGTGACTTGTGTTACCTCCATTGTGCGGAGAGCTACACGGAATGTCGTCCTATGGGGTTGCGTGAAAAGCTGGACAAGGCTTAGGGAGAACTAGGCTACAAAAAATATCCGTTGTTTTGGATTCTCGGAAATGAGTGGAGGGATAGGGAAATGAAGAACACACACATACACACACACACTCACGCACACACATATACACACACACACACACATTAACGCACACACACACACACACACACACACACACACACACACACACACACACACAATGGAGATCGTCACTCTAGTTATTGAAATTTTTATTTTTTTTTATTTTTAGACACGTGAATTCTTCAAGTTCAAAATTAAACCTACTAATAAGAATCACTTTCCTTTATACGCGTAAGCAGTTGAATTTGTTTTTAGAGGATTAAATCATCTTCTCTGAAACTTTCTAAATGGATTCGATGACAATCAACGAAGATAATGATATGTGAAGTCAGAAATGTTCAAGAGTATAACCTATAAGTTCGGCTGAAAAAAAATATATATATTATTTCTTTTTATAGAAAAAACGCCTTTCCTGAAATAAAAAAAATGGTGATTGTATAGGTTTAACGCCGCTATCAGCACTATTAAGTTATTTAAGAGACGGGGCCTCCGAGTTTAACGTCCATCTCCGAAAGGACCAAGCCAAATGGGAAATGCGTGTAAAGTGCCTTTCCCAAGGACACAACGTCGGACCGAGCCGCCTTTCGTGGCCCTGGAACGGAATACAACATCGCTGATTACAACTAACCTGTCCAGGAATGCGCTGCTAAACAGCCTGTGATGTTGGCACGTTCTTTTCGATTCGATTTCTTTCTCCATCTCGCGTGGGCGGCGAACGACACCATGTATATTTAGCTGGGGTAAACAACCAGCACAGAGTGACAACTGACAACCTGGAACAGGTGCTAACGTAGCACTGAGAGCGGCGGAATCTTCTTTCATCTTTACACCTTTCTGGTGGAAGGGGGTTGAGGGAGAGGTAGGGGGAGGGGGAGGAGCGGGGAGGAGCGGGGAGGAGGGGGAGGGAGAGGGGGCTCACAGAAGAATTACAGTACAGGTTCCCACTTTACGGGATCACCTGGATACCTGTAAGCATGATCTTTGGTTCAGAAGTTGATGCATAATGACTCGCGATTATTTACTTTCGCGAGCTGCTCTCGTACATTTTGTCTTAGGCTTAATTATTTAGCCAAGTCCATACTTTGGCGTTGTTCATCCACACTGTTCGTGCGGTGTCAACCCTAAACCTTCCATCTTGCCGTCCAGTATATCCCTCATTTGTATTGTCTGGTGGCATTATTATATATATGACCGAAGTATTGTTTTGGAGTTGTTGTTCTTATAGTTTGTTCGTTCGTTTGTTTGTTTTTTCGTTATGTTCATGTGATTGTAGTGCTAAGAAGATTCCAGAATCAGTCCTCATTTCATTTTTTTCGACGAAGATCATCGCCCAAAGAGAGCTAATTGTATTGACTTCAATATTCTATGGCACATCGGTAAATGCAGACCGCACTTTGTTCCCATGAACCCACACTACTACAACTACCCAGTACTCACTGGAAATCAGCTTTTTGACTGAGTTGGGATCAACCAGATTTTCTTTTTTAGAGGAGCAAAAGCTACATTTTGGCATAATACGACTGAATTCAACTAAATTCGACTGTAACCTTCAAAACCAAAGACGTTTGTTTTTCAAGGTCGCAAGTCGAATCTGTCGTATGGTGCCAAAATGGTAGCTTTGCGTCTCCATGATAGATAATCTGGCTGCTCCCGACTCAGTCTGATGAACCCGGCTGACAGTGTGCACTGGGTATAACATTATGTTTTTTAAAGTTTTAGTAAGTGTTTTACGGCACCTGCAACACAATAAGGTCATGTAAGTGCCAAAGATTAGAGGTGTTGCAAGAGAGTAACAGTAAAAAAAAAAATTTTTTAAAGAAGAGATAAAGACGATAAATGTTTGATATCAAAAAGGGGCAATCCACACTACCAGAGCACCCGCCAAACATCCACGAAGATTACGTGAAAAATTCTGCTGCTAGAAATTCTCCAAGCTCCCAACATTTGATGAAGCGCACACAGCCTGTCGCTCCCTGTGGCGTCGCCAGTTTAGTGGTCAGCCTACCACACCTCTCATCGTGAGAATGCGGACTCGGGGGTTTTAAGTTCAGCTTGACCGCACGTTGTGGCCTTAGGAAATGCACTTTACTCTATTTTCTTCACTTCACCGAGCCACTGTGAATGAGTACCCGACCATAGACAGCGAAATATCCTGGCAGTATGTTAGCGTTTTAGCGCCTGTAAAATGACAGCTAACATTGTTTGCTGCACAGGAAATTGGATCAGTTTCAGAATGCGGTCAAGCAAGCCCGTCGTTTTTCAGGCTTCGTTGTCTCGTTCTTCTCCCGTACAGTTGTTGACGTCTGTTGTCTCGCACCTGCTGATGGAGCGGACATTGTGTGGGTGTATTCCTTCTGGCCTGTGACGTCGGTGGTCTAGTGGTTAGGGTATCGGACTCGTGGTCATGAGATCGTTTGTTCGGAGGTTCGAGGCTCAGCGAATGTTCCCGTTTGTCTCGGTCCTTTCGGAGATACTGGCAAGATCTTTCCCTTTCAACAAGTGGGTGCTCAGTCATGTCAGGCGATGAAGTGGGGAATATTTGTGTAAAACGCCTTTCCCAAGGACACAACGCCAGGCTGGATTGAGCCTCGAACCCCCGAACTCGCAGTCTTACGATGTCTAACCACTAGACCACAGACTCCTCTGGTGCGGGTCCAGCTCCTCTTCCCATTAATTGAGCAATCACGAGAATATTTAATTCTTTATAAATCGCTCCCTCAGAATAACAAAATTCTATATCACACACATTTTTTTGGCCGTTTTAAGTTACTGTGACTATGAGATCCTCACAAAACTATGCCCCCCCCCCCCCGGTGCCAAATGTACAAGATCCAGGCCAGCCTAAGCCGGAGATGACCATGAGTTCAGAAACCAGATGTTCTGTCTACTCTATTAATATCGTTAAAGTATTCGGATTCATTATCAAAGATATTCAAAGAATTGCTTTTTAAAAAGGCTTGATATGTAGCGGAAGTCAAACATTTTTACGTCAAATTTCTAGGTACTGTGCAGATAGAACTTTGTAGTTCTAGGGTAACAGATGTAAGTGTAACTGCATGGGTTTAACGGCCCTGTCAACACTGTTAGGTTATCTAAGCGGCGGGACCTCCGAATTTAACGCCCATTTCCGATAGGACCGCGCTAAACGGCCTGGGAGCCTTCAAAACTCAATAGCATGACCGAGTTCAAGAACGCCCAGTCTGGGATTCGACCCACAGCCATCCGCTCCGTAGCCTAGCTTGATGCCAACTGGGCTGCTAATAGAGCGTCCTTTCTAAGACTCTTTTAATTAAAGAAGCGCACAATAGAAAGACGATTGAGGAAGTCCAGAATGTTGTTGGAAAGTTTAGGACTAATATTTTTCTCTACACTGTGGTTTGAAATTGAGACTCTGTTCTTTTATTCTACTGTGATCTGCAAGTTTCAAAATTAATGTCTTTCTTATGTTTGTACTTGATTTCTTCTCTTTAAATTCCAGTCGTTGTGTTTATTTGCGTGTGTGGGTTTTTTTTTCTTTGCAATGTTTTGTTTTGTTTTGCTTTGCTTTGTTTTGTGGGTGGGAGGGTTGTTTTGTTTGTTTTGAGTAGTTTTTGTTCGTTTAAAAAAAAAAAAATTTAATCTCTACCCAAAAACAATAAGTTGGAGTCAATGCCAGTCGTATTAGGGCGAGATTCTAAGCTTTCTAACAAACACATGTTTGTGAACACCTTGTGTAAAGTCAAAAAATAACGACGAAATAGACATCGTAGCAGTACGTCTGAAGAGACTGTGAAAAATGACAACGATGTACATTAGTAACATAACTCACAGAAATACTTCGCTTGATCCTGGATATTCCACTTCAGAAACTCGGTTCTGTACTCAGCTCAGTTCTATTGTTAGAAAATATCTGCTGTCACAACTCACTTTGTCCCTTTGTCTGTTTTTCCAGAGCTCCAATTAAGTCACCCGCTGAGAGACATTCCAAAATCAATACAGTCTCTAACAAGTGTCACCGATAATTAAGTATAACAGTCACTGACAATAAATGTCACAGATGATTAAGTATAACAAACACAGACAAATGTCAGCGATGATTAAGTGTAACAACCACTTACACAAGCACGATGCTCTCACGACAAGTTAACCCTATCCGTACGCCCTGGGGTCATTTTGTACCCCCGGGGTTGTATTCTTCTCATTTTAGAATACTTCTAGTACGAAGATCTCTTTGAAACTTTCAGTATTTCTCAATAAATCATTTTGACGGACTGCTATGCAAAGCGTGCGGATCGGATTAAAGAGTAAATTTCCTCTTTGGAAAGTGGTGGCACATAGTTCCCCACGTCCTATTGATACGATAGTAAAACACGACGTACGGATATGATAAAGTGGTGGCACAGAGTTCCCCGCGTCCTATGGGTACGACAGTAAAACACGACGTACGGATAGGGTTAAGACTTTATCACGACAAGATTAAACCCACCCGCACTCAGTGACACTCACGGGAAATCACAAACACCAGAGAGAAAGGAATAAGAGACAAACTGCGGCCTTACGTGCCACTTCCAGATGCTACACTCACCATGCACGGCGCCCACTCAATGGAGTCTCTCTCTCTCTCGTCCTGACCACAATAATAATTATACCGTATTATGGTGAGCAAATAAAACTACGCAAGAACTCACCTCGGCGAAAACTTCACGACTCGCACTCTCGCGCTGCTCGCCTACTATTACAGCTGTTGCTAGTCTGTTCCGTTGCTCACTCTGTGCCTGGCTGTTGTGTGCGCGCGCGCGCTCGCTCGCTCGCCCGCTATCAAACACGTGCGTTGAATATTGCGGCGTCGGTCAAAGTCTGTCTGATTCAAACTGCGGCGATTTTAGCAGACTCTTATTTTGACTGTGGGGAGCGCTCGGGTTAGTCGTGCTGCAAAAGGTCAGCGTATGATCGATTCTCTCGCCGTGGGGAATAATCATCAATTTAGCCACCGCGGCATTGGTTCCGTGCGGCCACTCGCCTGATTTGTGGGTGTGTCTGGTTGTCTCCATGTCGTGCCGGGGGATTACACGGGAGTGTTTGTGTGAGTGTAGTTGTGAGAATGAGTAGAATTGTTTGTATGCATCATGTTTACGTATGTGTGTATGTTTGCATGTGTGTGTGTGTGTGTGTGTGTG